TTGAGGACAGACACTGCCACCACCCGCCCCGAGCGCCCTAGAGAGCAGCACTGCCCCTACCAGCAATTCCTTTGGCATTGCGTACTTTGGACTTGCCCCTGCATCCCTGTCCCCATCCATCTCAGGGGAAGTGGGGAGATCTCAGCCCAAAGACCGGTCTAGGGATTTGTTCATACTTCCAAAAGGCTGAAGCAGATTCAGACAGACCTGTACCCAACCTTCCTGCACCCACAGGCACTGATCTGTGGCCCGTGTAAACCACATTCCACTGCTCCTACACGCAGGTACCTTCTAGAGATGGAAATTCTTGTCTCCAGGGCCAGGGCTGGCTTTCAAGCCCAATAGATGAGGAGACCTGCAGTCCCCCCAGCAGAGTCTGCCTGAGAATCACGGAGCTGCCACTACAGTTACTCTTGCTTCAAATTGTGCTTCCCTCTCCCCGGGACTGGGATGGCAAAGATCCCCTGAAATCCAGGGTTAGTACTGACCAGGGTGGGACCCAAGCCTGCAGATGGGGCTGTGCTTGAGGAGTGCTATATCACCGTAGCAGCTACGGGGCCTAAGCAAGGCTCAGACCCCAGTGGGGGATGCCCCTCAAATCACCACCCCCAGGATTCAGTTCTCCCCCATATTGGGCCTTTTCTCACCCCCTTCTGGAACAAAGGGGATGGAGTCTCTGCCCAGGTCACGCTGGTGAGAGGCAGCTGGCGCGGGCCAGCCCAGGTGGGAGCATGCCTCTGCAGAGCCCTACCTGTGTTACTGCAGGCTGGATCCGACCTTGGATCTGGGGGCATAGCCGCTGGTTCTTGGAGCTGGGATGCCCTAGGATTATTTCCAAGGCAACTGAGAATGGGTCTATCCTTCGGGGGGAATTGTGGGCAGGCCTTGGAGGACTAGCAGCAGATACCCCCAGCTGTGCTAGCTGGCCCAACCTTAGAGCAAATGGGGCCAGAGGGTTTTGTAGGTGGCTGGGCTAAAACCCAGGTTATCTGCCTCCCCTGAGGGAAGGAGACTGGCTGAAGGTCACTGTGAAGCTATGGCAGAGGTCAAGAGGCCCAGGCTACAGCCCAAAGGCAGCTGCGCTACCGGCAGTATACCTTGTGCCTCTAGAGCCGGCTCACCCGCGGCTCCGGTTTCTTCCCTCACCTGGAGTAATGATCCTGACTGCCACTGGTTGGTTGCCATGGAGACGGCTGCCAGAGGAACACTTGGCACAAGGCCACTAAATGCCCCGAAGCGCCTGTTTCGTGCCAATGTCCCCAGCAGCGAAAACACCATTAAAAATACCCCCCTCCCCCCCAGCAAAGGGAGTTCACACGGGGATCAGCCGGGGCTTGTTCTCACCAGC